CGGGCGGGCGGGCGGCGAGCGGGGCGCCGGCCTTGTCTGGCTCCTCGGAGAGCTTCCCCGCGGGGCAGGCCGGCGTCTCCCCCGGGGCGTGCTTCCGCCCGGACGACCTGGCCAGAGGGAGAGCCAGTCAGATGCTGGGTGGCTCCCACGTCCCCCTGGACGATGCAGAGCCACGGGGGCCGGTCCCCTCCGGAAAGGCAGAACTGCCCATGGCTTCCAGGGCCAGACCTCAGCTCCAGGGGCCCGGGAAGGGTCTCCCAGACTGGAGCTGAACGAGGCAGGGGGTGCAGCCCAGCTCGGGGGGGATCCTGCAGAGCAGCGCCTGCACCTGCGGCGAGCATCGATCCCTGCTGCAGCTCCCCCTCGTCCTTACTTGTGCTCCTGGCTGGCCCGGGAGATGGGCAGCTGCTTCCCCTTGGCTGCTCCGGTCTCGTCCTTGTCGATGCTGATCCACTCTGTGGGTGGGAGACGCGCCGGCTCAGCCCGCCACGCCTGCCCGAGTACCCCTTTCCACCCTGCTCAGCCGGCCGGCCTCCCCCCTGGCCCGGGGTACCCCAGGGCACAGCCCGGACCCCAGCCCCTTGGCCGGGCACAGAGAGGACAGGGCGCTGAGCCCCTGGCACCGTTGCACTGGCTCCCAGGCAGCGAGGGGAGCTGGGCCCAGAGGTCTCTGGCATCGTTGGCCAGGAGATGGAGCTACTGCCCCCACATCCCCACCCTGGCCCATGCAGTCGGCGCCAGGAGCTGCAAAGGGGCTGGGCTTCCCCGTGGGGGCAGCAGACAGACAGCGATTCCTGTGGGGACAGATGGAGGGAGCGCGCTCACCGTACAGCCTCTCGCGGGTGCCCACACGCTCAGTGGGGACCCGGACCTTCATGGAGCCGCGGATGTTGCCCGTCTCCTCCCCGCGGTGCGACAGGTAGGTGAGGAACTGCTGGGCCGTGCTGCCGATCATGGACTTGAGGGCGATCACACACTCACCTGCGAGAGGGGTGGGGGTGAGTGGCCTGGACACCGGGGGCAGGGGGGCCAGAGGAAACACTCCCACCTCCCCCATGGACCCTGATCCTTCCCTCTGTCCCTTCCAGGTGGCAGGGCCCCGGGGGACAGGGCACTAATGGCCAGCTCTGCCACTGACTCACTCTATGACCTCAGGCAAATCACTTAGCACCCTCAGGAGTTGAGAGCAGGGGGAAGCACACCCCCAGGCCAGGGGATCTGCCGGGATGGGAGAGGCTCAACTGGGGGAAGGATAAGCTCCAAGTGGTGGCCCCTTCGCCTGCTCCTCACCGTAGGATTCGTAGCCGTCCAGCGACTTGACGGTGAGCAGGAGATGCTGGTCCTGGAGGTACTCGATCTCGGAGAGGATGGGCTTGAGCTGCGGGCAAGCAGGGGGGCAGTTATGCTGTGGGGACCACAGGCCAGCCAGGAGGTGGAAGGAGTGGTTACAGGTCGGGCTGGCAGGGCTCCAGCCCCAGCTCAGACGCAGCCCAGGCCAGGGCTTGTCCAACCTGCTTGCAAAGCTGCACAGCGGCCGGGCACGGTGCCCAGAGCACCCGGCGCCCCCAGCCTGCACCAGGGGAAGCAGGGGGACAAGGGGTCTGCCAGCGGCCCCTGCTGCAAGGGCTGTTTACAATGCACTCGAGACCCCAGCAGCCAGCAGGACTCTCCCCATCACACCCCGCACTGGACCCCCAGACGCCCATGTCTCTCCTGACCAGGCCGGCGGTGGAGCTGACCCCCTCCCCCCGTATACACCTCAACAGGCCACGGCCCCTGGACTCCAGAGACCTGGGCTGGCTGCTGGGCTCTGCCACCGAGCTGCCAGCAGCCTTGGGCATGTCACCTGACAGCCTGGTGGGGATCGGGGTGCCGTGAGGGGCACTCACCGTGGGCAGCTGCCTGGAGGACCACTGCACCTTGAGGAAGTTGATGTTGTCGCTGCTCTGGGAGTCGTTCTCGATGCTCTTCTTGAACTCTGGGGGGGCAAGGAGAGGCAGCCTCAGAATTAGACCCGCAGCCCTGTCCCCTGCAGCCAAGCTAGCTAAGGGGGCATCTCCCTGGTGTGGGGCTTAGTGCTGTTTCTCATTCGCAGCACCTGCCGCCCTGGGCTCGTGGGCTCGTGTGGGGACCGGGGCTGGGGGAGGCAGTCAGGCACTCACCTTCCAAACAGGGGGAGTAAAACTCAATGAAGAACTTGGTCCGGCTAGCCGTCTTCACAATGGCCTCGATGCTCTCGAACTCGATGTAGGCCTGGTCCGAGGACTTGGAGAGCCCTGGGGACGGGGAGAAAGATGTCAGAGGAGTCTCAAGTCCCCTCCTCTTGCTCCTTGGGGGGGGTGAGGGGGGCTAGGTCAGCCCCGGCTCATGGGAGGCCCCTGTTCAGGATTCTCGGCATTCCCGAACTGGGGAAGGGTCCTCACCCCCACAGCGACCTGCCAGGGGTCTCCTGGGTCCTGGCCCGGTGCTGCACTGGGGATGTGATGCCAAGCCAAGGGGCAAGAGCACGGTCCCGGGGTTGGTTACTGTAGCACCCAGCACAGCATCTGCATCACCGGGATGCCCCTGGTGGTACCAGGCAAGCTGGAGGGGGGCAGATTCCTGCCCTAGGCACCCCTCGCGCCCTACCTTTCTTGGAGACGAACTGTGATGTCACTCCGACCTCAAAGGAGCCGAAGACAGGGGAGTGGTCACTGGTCACGACGTCATCGGTGCACCCTGGTGACGAACAGGGATGCTCAGAGCCCGGCATCTCCTTCCCGGCCAGCGGGTCTCAGGGAGAGGGTGCTACAGCTCAGACATCCCCAGCGGGGGGACAGGGCCAGCTCCCCCCGACCCTGAGCTCCCAGCCAAGACCATTGCCCACCTCCCTGCTGTGGGCTGTCAGGCCTAACGTGAGGCCGGGGATGTGGTCTGAGACCTCCAGGGCACAGGCCGTGGCAGCTCTGGGACGAGGGGGACACCCTAGGGTATGGCAGCTGCAGGCACAAGCCACCTAGTCCCCCCATCCGAGGGCGGCTTTGCTGCCACCCATGTGCCCCCCACGCCTGCCAGCTCACCGTAGGAGTTGCAGTTGACGTGGGTCTCCGGGTAGGACTTCCACAGGATGCGGTCGCACCACGACGGCACGTTGGTGCGGACCTGGGAGGGGGCACAGGGCGCCGGGTGTTGGTGCGGCCAGGTTGTGAGCACCTGCCATCCCACTCGCCTGCCTGGGGCCCATGGCAGATGGCCCCCTGCCCCGGGTGTGCCCCTATCCCCCACCCCCCATCCCCATTGCACCTACCCCCGTGGGCTTCTGCTTGTGCCACACGTAGGTGTCGCGGGAGCCCTTCTCGTAGCGGTAGGTCGGGGGGAAGGTGATCTCCTCCTCCGCTGCACAGACAGCCCCGGCGTCAGGAGCAACCCAGGGTCAACCCCCACCATTCATCAGCACCCCCATACTGCAGTGCAGACAGGGAGACCCCCCCCCCGTCCCTGGGGGATCCCGGTACCGCCGCCCCTCACCGAAGCGCAGGAACACCTTGTGCTTCTCCTTCTCCAGGTTGAGCTGATCCACCTTGAGCAGCGGCTCGAACTCCTTGCGGTTGATGTAGTTGAGGATCTCCTGGGGTGTGGGGAGGACGGGCGCTGGGTGCGGGCTGCGGGGAGCTGTCAGCTGCCCCCGGCCCTCAGGCAAGGACCCCCATCCCTCTGCCCGCGCTGCCCACCCCAGGGGCCCTCACCTGGATGTCCATATCCAGGCGGTAGTTGAGGTCCCCGAACCAGAAGAGGTGGGTGAAACGGAGCGAGATGTCGAAGGAGCTGAGCTGCTTGTCGCCCAGGGACAGCAGCCGCAGGATGTCCACGTAGTTTTGGTTGCGCCTGTTTTGGGTGGGGAAGCATCAGCCTTCTGGGCACATCCCTTATCCCCCCAGCTGGGACCCGAGGCAGCAGGGTCCCAGGGAACAAGGCATGATGATGGTAGCGCGTAAGTCCCCGGAGTGCAAGCGAGCGTGCCAAGCAGCGTCCAAGGCCACCCGAGAGAGCAGGCACGCTTGCTGGAGGATGCCGGGGCCCGAGCTAGGAGCACGCACGCGTGCAAGCACAGCAGAGGCATCCTGCCCACAAGGGTGCCTCTGAGCGTGTGAAAGCACATGGGGATTCGTTCGTCTCTGTCGCCAGCCAAGGCTGGTGGGGAACAAGGACACACCTGGCCGTGCTGAGCACAGAGCGGGTTGCAGGAACGTACCCATGGCAAAGCACAAGGGGGGATGTGTCCTGGCGTGAGCGTACGCACAGCAGGCAGCCTGCTGGGCCCCAGGGCAGTCCCGGCTCCCCCGGCTGCAGGCACCCCCATGCCCTGCCCTTGCCCTGGCATTGCCCGTCCACACCCTGGGGACCCTGGTTGACACTGGGGCATGCAGGTGTTTCAGCAGCTCCTCCTCTCACCCCCTAATCCAGGTCCCGCCAGGCGCGGGCTGGGCACTCACCTGGCCGTCTTCTCGTTGCCCGAGGTCAGGTGGCAGTTGACGAAGCCGAAGGAGGTGCCGTTGAACATGAAGGAAACTCCCACGGCCCCTTTGTTTCCTGCAAGACAGCGAGGAGGGTTGGGCACCCAGCTCGGGGCGGGTGGTGATGGCTCCCAGTACTGCCCCACAGCTCGCACTGGGGTCTGGGGGGAGCAGGGCTGGGGCTGGGGGAGAATCCAGCCGAGGATCCCAGCTCTCCCCAGAGCCAGAGGGAAGCAGAGGCAGGTCCGAGCTGGGAGTCGCTGCCCCGGCCCTGGACAGCGCTGTCCGTGCGGGCTCCGGGGAGGTGCCCCAGCTGGGTACCGGGATGAGGCTGCAGCCTCATGGCTGAGGGAGGGCGCCACGGCAGTTCACGCCAGCGCGTCCCAAGGCATGCCCCCCCCCGCCAGCCTCTCCCCGGGCTGGGCCTGGCGCTCGGCGCGGACGTACCCAGCGTGTTGGCTATGCCGGTCTTCACGCTGGAGGTGCTGATGTGGCTGATGCGGGTCTCGTGCTCCGGCTTCACCAGGACGACGATTTTAATGTACCACAAGGACTGCATCGCGATCTGCGGGGGGCAACCACGTGGCGTTGCAGCCCCCCTCTCCAAAGATCCCCAGGGCAACCTCTCCTGACCCCACCTGCCCCAGACGGCCCATGCAGGGGGCAAAGGCAGCATCCCCAGGGGACGTGGGCTGACTCCCCGGGACGGTCCCGGTTTGGGGAACACAATCCTGGAGTCTGGGGGGTTTTAACAGAATAATAAAACGGGGATTCGTCCTTCTCTGTCACCAGCCAAGGCTGGTGGGGAAAGAAGGACACACCTGGCCATGCTGAGGATAGAGCAGGTTGCACCCTCCCCAAACCCTCCCACGGTCCCAGGGCCAGCCGCTGACCCGCAGCTGCCTGGACTTAGCGGGGGCCTAGAATGGAGGGCGATCAGACAACCCCAGAGACGATGGTTTCCCAGCATGCAATGCTCCTCCTTGACCGGAGCGGTGCCGCATTGCATTCTGGGAAGCTGCGGCATCCTGGGAGCCATCCACCCCGACAAGCCTGGCCCGTGGGATGTGGGACTCGGGGCGGTCCCCAGACCCGCTGGGCGCCGGGGTGCCTACCGGGCGGTACTCGATGTCTGTGAAGTCCTTGAGCGCGCCGCGCAGGAAGTCGACCCACTCCTTGTCCCCCATGGAGTTCTCCTGGGTGCCGAAGACGTAGATGTCGTGGGGGATGGCGACTGTTGCCTCGTCCAGCGTCTTCCCGAGCCCCTTCGACGTGAACCACGACGTGACGCTCTTGGGAGGGAACACGCTTCCTGTCGGAGCGGGCACGGCCCCGCGGAGACACTGTCAGGGCTGCAGGCAGCCGGGCTCGCTCCAGGCACGGGGTGGTGGCAGGGGCACTAGCTGGACACCAGGGTGCGCCTCTTTCCTCTGCCACACACTCCCTGCCTGGCCTTGGGCAAGTCACTTAGCCCCGCCGTGTCTGTGCCACGGGGATCTTAGGAGGTGCCGTGCAAGGGGCAGAGACGGCAGCGAGGGGAGACGCAACAGCCAGGCAGCGTGGCGTGGTCTGGCTGCAATGAAGCGCTGCCAGAACAGTGCAGGAGGGTCCAGGCTGGGGGGTCCCAACCCGGAGGGGGGGCTCTGGGGGTCACAAGCTTCCTGCTGAAAGGAGCAGAGGGTCTTGCTGTGGGGGAATGATTGATCCATGAGGGTGCAGCCGCTCGCAGGGACTTGTCCAGCCAGGGGGAGGGGTGCCGCATGCTGCCTGGTCAACAAGACACGCGGCAGCTGGAACGCGAGTGTGGCGCGCGCCTGCGGCCGGCAGCTGTTCCCCTCAGCCAGCCCCTCCTGCTTCAGACAGACAGCGAGCGTGTGCATCACAACAGCCCCGGGCCGCTCGCGGGGTGGGGGGAAA